GGGGGGGGGGGGGGGGGGGGGGGGGGGGTGCATAGATAATATTAGATATCATAATTGGAACACTTTTACGATCTGGATCTTTCAAATGATTGTGACGTTTTTGATGAAACGGCCATCTCACTGCTGCAATTTGAGTGGCGCGAGGCTGGTCACGCTTGTATGGTTGAGTGCGGGATGCCCACACATCTATTTGGCTTCTGCCCACTTGCACCATATATTTTCTGTTCTTTGAGTGATTCTCATTGAATGCAATTAGCGGTGCTGCACAGGAAACAGGAGGGAGGGAAGAAAAAGGAAGGGGAGGGGAGAAAGAAGGGAGAAAGGGGGAATGGAGGAAGAGGGAAAGGGAGGACCCGTTTAGATCCTGTATACTCACCGGCACAACAGACTGTGAACCAGTGGTAGGTGATGGGTTGGGTCGCAGATACCAATGAATAGAGAAGCGCAGTGGATTGCCTATGGTGAGTGGCCATGCCCAGTATGACCGGTGGCATATGGAAGCACTGCATCCAATCTGCACAGTTAGATTGGCAGTGTCAAATGGAGCGGGGAAGACATATATCATCTGGGTGTGTGTCGAGCACACTCTCCATTCCGAGAGTACACAACACGCTAATAAGTGACGCTATCATGACAGTCTTTTTTGTCAGACTCACCACCTTATCGGGAGGTTGGATCTTGACCGTCTGTAACAAATGCATTGGATTGATGTCGCCGGACACACTACCTCATGACTTTTCGTAGTTGGCGATACCCCCCCCCCCCTGGACAGAACTAGTTGACTTCATGGACATGCAAGCCTGACACACATTACTCTTTTGCATGTGTGTGTATGTCTCTGTGCGGACGTGCGAGTGTGGTTCCACACAGTTACAGTCGCTTTGTTGAATGGCACAGTGCCGACACAAAACCATATCGACAGCATGCAATCATGCCACACTTTCGCCAAGTCATGAAGAGGTTCAATCTTGACCACCTGTCCAGATTCTTTTGGATCGATATCTTTCCACATACTAATCACGTCCCAGAGTTGTGGATTCGCACGTATGCAAACTCTAATCACATCAATCTTGTGCATGCGTGATTGTGTGTGTGTGTGTGTGTGTGTGTGTGTGTGTGGGTGTGGGTGTTGTTCTGCACAATTACAGTCACTATGTCAAGTGTCACAGTGCAGACAAATGTCCTGTGTGTGAATGTGGGTGTGACAAATATCCACAGTGGCTGCGTATCATCAGGACAGACATTTTTTTCAGATTTTCACCAACTCATCAGGTGGCAGGTGTACTACCTCAGCACTTGCCGATGTCGTTGATATGCTTGAGAGAACTGGTGGACTCCACCACACATGCAAACTTCACTCACATCAGTCTTTTGCATGTGCGTGTGTGCGGGTTTGTGTGTGTTGTTGTTGGGTGGAGATGGTGGGCATTTTGACCTTTGGTGATTGCAGGAAGTAGCATCGGTGGTATTCTCAATATTTAACCTGTTGGCTCATGCTTATGGCCTTTGGAGTTTTTCAAAGTTGGCGGCTACCCTACCGCGGAGCTCAAGTCCCGGTTCCCCGTCGCTGTATGGGTTCATAGGTCTATGGAAACTGTTTGGCGTGATCAGCATCAACAGCTGGGTTTGGAGTATTGTCTTCCATTCCAGGTGTGTTCCTTTTTCTTGTTTTTTTTTTTGTTCTGTTTTTGGATTCAAGGTGTTTTTGTTTATGTGATAAAATTAAATGAGCTCCTTTCTTTCCAGCAGAGCGGAGTAGATGTCTTTTGTGTCGCCCCGAGCACCCTCTCTCCTCCCCATACCCTCCCGACATGAATTTTGTTATTTTGATTTTTCGACTCCTCCCTGCTCCCTCGCGTCCCTCGCTTCTACCTCCCCTACCTCCCCCATCACCACCCACCCCACGCTCCCCGCTCCCCTGGCTTTCATCATCTCTCTCTCTCCCCTAACCTCCCAAGTGCCCAGTACAGCTCACCATGACCATGAAGGGAATTGTACCAGTGACCTCCCAGTGACCTTAGCCATAGCCATAACACTTGGATGACTTTGCCACTCTGCATTTAATATGGGGTTCTGCATTAAGTTGCCAGTAGCCTTGGGTTACCATCTGGTTTGGGCCATCTAGTTTCGGGTGTGTTCACCGCATTAAACCACTACTATCTTTCCCAGGCAATATCGAGAATCGAAAATGTAACATTCCGGCTTCTTTGGACGAACAGTGCTACTGGACGACAATGGCTGGCGGCGCCAGCCAAAAAAAGAAAATAAGCATCGCCACGTTGGTGCTTTGGCAAAGCTTGGTGCACAGTTCTTTTCCGCCTCAGGAAAAAGAGACTCCATGATGATGTCTCTGCAGAACACTGCTCCCACACCCACCCCCCTGGGAGACCATTCCCCCCTACAGGTACCCCATGCGATAGCTCTACTTCCGCTAACAATCCGAATGTGTGCCGTCTATTATAGCGGCTCATCTGTGCTGTGCTAGGCCGGGGGACAAGTACGTGGGGTGGCAATCTAGCACCAACTGATCGTGCGGAGCAGGGGGTGAGGGCCGAGAGAATTGAACCCGACGGGAACCTGCAACCTCACCGTTGCAATTCCAGAGCTTTAACCAACTGAGCTACCACGTCTTGTCCTCTGGTTTCGATTCTCGATGTGATTGTAAAGGGACAACCGTCTGCCGAGTTTGTACACCACCCATGACTTGTTGAAACACAGACCCGAGTTCGAATCCAGATGGAACTGAAGGAATGAAATACCTAAATTACCTGGGGCCAGTCAGCTCGGTGATGGTACCTCAAGGCCCTCACCCTTTTTAAAGAAGGGAAAAAAAAAGAAAAAAAAAAGACATGTACAACCATCTGCCCAACTGTGATACTGCTGGAATAGGCAAAGTTGGCTAGACGACTTGGCGGATTGTGTGTTGGCAGAAAAGAATTAACCTGTTCACGAAGCTGTCTGGATTCATCAGATCCGAGCATGGGTGCTGGAGAAAGGTGCCGAAAGAATGAACCTGTTCATGAAGCACCTACAAATATTCATTGGGGTCGTTTTATCCGTCTTTTGGGGGTGCTGTGGGCCCAAGTACCCCTGCTATGTGAATGACAACGCGCTCCCTTCCCCATGGCCCCCCGTTTCATTTATACTAGGCCGGAAGGAAGATGGCATTCAAACTGTTAAATGGAGTTCTGCTGCTGCACCAAGGGCAGCCTAGTCAGACCACACATGGTAACTGTATCGAGGCGACTTCAAGGCCAGGTGCAGCTATGTAACCATGCCTTCTGCTCGGAGGAGGATAGTACTACCAGAATATAACTAGGTGTGGACACATAAACCTTTAGTAGCTGTTCACTCGTTTACATGCACAAGCAGATGCATTAGGACGAAATGAGTTGGTGCGGGTGGTTGGGCGGAGAAACGTCTTTCGTGCACACATTTTCTCATCTGTTATGGGTTCTTTGTTGCATTTGTGTTTTATCGCTTCAAATTTCCTTAATCCTGCCGCCTTGCCCCGTTGAGAGACTGTCCATAGTTGTTGTTGTCGTTGTTGTTGTCATTGTTATTGTCATTGTTATTGTCATCGTTGTTGTTGTTGTTACTGTCGTTGTCATTGTTATTGTCGTTGTCGTTGTTGGTGTCGCTGTTGTCGTCGTCGTCGTTGTCGTCGTCGTCGTCGTCGTTGTTGCTGTTGTTGTTGTCGTTGCTGTTGTTGTCGTTGTTGTTGTCGTTGTTGTTGTCGTTGTTGTTGTTGTTGGTGGTGGTGGTGGTGGTGGTTGAATAATTTGGACCATTTCTTGACTTATGTGTGTCATCCTTGCATGAGGGCATGCTAATCTTCTTCTCTGTATCATTCCAATTTTGACGAATGTCCCAGATGAAGAGGAATGTGTATCGTATTTGTTCTTGTGGTAGAAGATTGAATGTGGATGACATGGGTGGATAATACTGGATATAGATCAATTAGGTGTTGTGAAAGCTGTCATCGTCATGGTGTCACTTCTCCTGGGGGGGTTGTTTTTTCCTGTTTCTAAGAAATGTTTTGTTGGTTTCTTTTTGGTGGTGCAGAAGCACGACATTTACCGAACGGCTAGATTACGTTTCTGCAATCATATCCGTTGGGTATAACTTCCTCATTGCTCTCATTAGGACATTAAATTTCAAGCAGGAGGCATTGAGGGCGATGATATCGGCACCCGTGATTGGTTTCACCTCAACCCATGTGCTGTACATGCTCTTTTATGATTTTGACTATGGTAAAGTATACTCAGAATATCTGATTTCTTTTTTTTCCCCCGCTTCTTTTTCTCTTCCTCTCCTCCCCCCCCCCCCCCCCTCTTTCCCTTTTTTTTTCTTTTTTTTTCCCCTTTTTTTTTTTTTCTTTCTTTTTTTTTTTTTCCTTTTTTCCTTTTTTCTTTTTCTTTTCTTTTCGTTCTTTTGGTATCAGAGCGTCCGCTTTTTTTTTTTTTTTTTGGTCATTAGAAAACAAAAAAGCCTCATTCCTCTTTTAAACCACCAGTACATGGCCCAGGGAAACTTGAGAATCGAAATCGGTTCCTTCTGAAAAGTTCGGAGACTCGAGGCTACCGGACCAAAATGGGTGGCGGCGCCATCCAAAAGAAAAGGAATATCTCGGAAAAAGAAAAGAAAAGGAAAAGTGCCATGACGGCGTTTCGGCAAGCTTGGCATGGAAGGGGGAATCCGCTGTGGCAAAAAGAGACTCGGGATGTACTGGTGGTTTTAAGTTTTTTATTTTTTATTTTTTTCTCTTCTGCAATTATTGCTTTAATTTTAGGGGGTGTACCGTGTACCCCTTCTGTTGTATTGTATTGTTGTACTAATTTACCAAATACAAATACTACCCCAATCAAAAAAAAAAAAAGAACTACCAGGATTTGATCTCATGATCTGTTTATCAGCACTTACATATACGCAATAGTCTCTTGTGTGTACCCTTTAGCCACACAGGGGTGGAGGTAGAAAACAAAAAATACTAGGGAGGGCAATTTCGAAAATTCTAAAGTAGCCCCTGATTATGTTGGTAGATTCCTTTTTCGAAGATCCTACGGCCTCTGACTGAGACATTGGGCGTCGCTTCCACTACTCAACATTCTACATGCATTTGGATGCCTTTCTGGACCAGGTGCATTTAGAGGAGTTCAACGTTTTGAATGTATCGGGACGATTTTCGACATCCAGATACATTTTCAGTGTTGTGCAGTGGAGCAAGGCCCATTGGATCCGAAATTACTCAGGTTATGCCATTGGCTTCCTCGTTCCTCGAACCTTTGATGCATGCTTTGATGCATGCACACAGTGGACGGTTATATTCTGCCGGGCCGTGGCGCTCAAAAATCTTAAAGAATGAACTTGATAGGAGAGAGAGGGAAAGAAGAAGAAGAAGAAGGAGAAGAAGAAGAAGAAGAAGAAGAAGAAGAAGAAGAAGAAAGAAAGAAGAAGAAGGTGATGTACAACCAGTATAGACCAATGATAATCCTCTTCTTCTTCGCCAACCATTCTTCTCTTTCTTATCTCCTCCCCTCTTATTCAAACAAGAAATAATAATAATAATAATAATGTTGAATGGCTGAACCAGAATCAATGTTGGAATCCCTCTTCTACTGCAGGTATCACATGAGGTCCACCATAGCCATGGCCACCCTCCTTCCTCCTAGGCCGAGGCTATGGCGGACTGTTAGGGCCTTGCCCTGATGTGTAGAAGACAGCTCAAGCAGCTATGGCTGCTCTAGCTCAGGCTGCCATGCCCTAGTCTGCCTCAAAGCTTCTTGGTGTAGCTCTACCCCCGCTGGGGCCTTCTTGCTGCAGCGCCCACCAAGTTGATGAAGATGGCAACCACCATAGCCAGGTAAGTACCCCTGGCATTCTTCCGTCCTAGTTCTGGTCTTCTTCCTCCTCCTGCAGCGCTGCGCCAAGCTAGCGCTCCAACCAGTGTGTCGCCAAACTTGCACACCGACGATCGGGAGGAGCACTTTGCTCCTCCTGGAGATATAGCGGCCTCCTTGCCTCTTGGCGAGTGACTTCCCAGGCCGTGCGGCCTCCAAGCAACCAGTACCTCCTCCCTTTTGGAGGGAAACATCATTGCAGACTCTGTTATTGCCCGTACAGGCCCTAGACTCGCGACTGGTTGGACTGGTACCCGCCTAGACCTAGCCTACAACTACTGGGCCTCTAAAAATGCCAACTTTTGTCTTCTTCTGCTCGGCCTCGAGTACCCGGCACGTATACGTCTACCTGGTGTGGTACCGGCCTACCTGCTACTCGAGTGTTTTTCCGCTGCTTCAAGTGTCGCGGGCCTCTTTCCCGCCACTTGAGTGTTTTCCCCGCCGCACCCCTCAATGTCACTGCCACAGGTAAGTACCAGCCCTTCGGGCCTTCGGGGCTTCCGATCAACCGAGTGCCGTCGCGGGTTACCCACGCGCACACTCAAACCGACAAGCACTCAGACAGGCATGCAGACCAGCAAGCACACACCCACACAGACTTAGAAAACCCAGCAACAAGCGGGAAACTCAGCAAGGCATACATTGCTTTAACAAAACTGAGAAATCAGCTGTGTGTCGCAGTCCATGAGTTTGGCAGGTCATTACACAGGTCTGCATTTCAACAGTTTAGAACTTTAGGCTCTTCAGAGGTGTGTAGTGTACAAACTGAGCTAGGCCAGTTGTTGGTATATAGAAACTTCTTAAGATCCAGTTTTCCATGGATTCTTTATCTTTCTTTTTTTTTTTTTTTTTTTCCCCCCTGCCGTGTACTTGTAGACTTTCTATAGTGATTGTGACGATCCAATGAAGTCTGAGGAGCACAGAGTTTCAAATTATCGACAGTCCAGAGACAGCTGGCAACCACCCCCCAAAAAAAAACAGGTCTGTAGGAATTACTAAGTCGTAAGAACCGTCCTTCGGGCCATCCCTTGAAATTGGAACGATACAGAGAAGGGTAATTAGCAAATTGCCCCTGCGCAAGGATGACACGCATAAATCAAGGAACGATCCAAATTCAAAGAAAAAAAAAGAACCAAAAAAAAAAAAAAAAAAAA